AGGCAGAGGGAGAAGCTGGCTCCATGCAGGGAGCCCGACACGGGACTCGATCCCAGGTCTCCAGGATCATGCCCTGGGCCAAGGGCAGGCACTAAACCACTGAGCCACCCGGGCTGCCCCATGGTTGGCTTCTAATCAACTATTTTCTCTTGCCGATTGTGTCATTAGTGGTTTTCTAAAAGTAATTATTTAATTTTATGACATCTATAAAGCACCAATATATCCTACAAAGAGAAATGTTTTAGAGTCTTCCCTTTTCCAATATTTGTAATTTTTCCTTTGCCATCAGAATTGGGTTAGCTGTCAACCAGGAAAAAGATAAGAGGGTCCTATATAATCATAATTTGGTAGGAACGGGCATATTAAATTTGGCAGAAAGTTGAGATAGAATGCATTTATGGTAAATTGATTTTAGAAATTTTTATTTTTAACATAGTCACCCTGAGTTTTTAAACCATATAATGTTAACATTTTACCCCATTTGCTTTGTCTGTTATTCTTTCTCTCTCCGTCTCTCTCTATATCTATGTATGTATATTTGTATATATTTTTTCTTTGTTTTTTGGACATGAAGATTTTAAAATACTATTAAACAATGAAAAAGACTTTCCCATTGTTAGAATTTTTAAAAATTGAGGTACAATTCACATGTGACACAATTCACTTTTAAAAAGTATATAATTCAGGACACCTGGGTGGCTCAGTCAGTTGAGTGTCTGCCTTTAGCTTGGGTCATGATCCCAGGGTCCTGGAATTGAGTCCTGCATTGAGCTCCTTGCTCAGAGGGGAACCTGCTTCTCCTTCTACCTGCCACTCCCCCCTGCTCGTGCTCTCTCTCTTTCTCTCTGACAAATAAATAAAATCTTAAAAGAAAAATTTTTAAAGTGTATAATTCAGTGGTTTTTAGTGCATTCATAAGATCGTATAACCTATTATATAATTCCAGAACATTTTCATTACCCCTAAAAGAAACTTTTAGCTCTCACTCCCCATTCTACTACCCTTTGCCCAGTTCCTTCAACCAGTAGTCTACTATCTATGGGTTTACCTGATCTAGACATTTCAAAAAAATGGAATCATCCAATACATGACGTTTTATGTCCAGCTTCTTTCAATTTGTATGTTTTTAAGTTTCATCTGTATTGCAGCATGAATCAGTACTGAATAGCATTCCATTTATGAATATATCACATTTTGTTTATCCAGTTACCATTTCATGGAAATTTGGGTTGCTTCCACTTTTTGGCTATTATGAAAAATGCTCCTATGAACACGCTAGTACACATCTTTGTATGAACATATCTTTTCAGTTCTCTTAGTATTTACCTAGCAGTGGAATTGCTGGATCATATGATGATAACTGTTTAACTTTCTGAGGAACTACCCACTCATTATGTTTAGTTTATTTACTGAGAAAATTTTCTCCCACTTTGAAAGTTTAAGCGGTGATTCTGAAGTTGGGGTGGTAGGTGCTTCTTTCCACTTCAGATATCCTTCCAGAGATTAATGTTGAGGATAACTTAAAAGCTCCGTTGGATGCTCCTCTTTTGATCTGAAAACGAAGTACTGAAATAAATGACCTAGCAGAATAGTTCTTTCCATTTGTGTTTAGTGGATTTTGCCTTTAGTTTTCTGTTTGGTCCTATAAAGAGATTGTTGGCAACCTTAGTTGTATTAGGAGGTAAGAATTGCCTTCTAATTGGGATGTTATTTATCCTTATCTAATATTTTAAGAAGAAAACTGGGAGTCTATTCAATAAAGATTTTTTTAATCAATCTTCTATAAAATTCGTGGAGAAAGTGACACTATGTATCATATTAGTCATATCCCTTTATTTTTTTTTAATTATTTATTTATTTTTATGATAGTCACAGAGAGAGAGAGAGAGGCAGAGACACAGGCAGAGGGAGAAGCAGGCTCCACGCACCGGGAGCCCGACGTGGGACCCGATCCCGGGTCTCCAGGATCGCGCCCCGGGCCAAAGGCAGGCGCCAAACCGCTGCGCCACCCAGGGATCCCAGTCATATCCCTTTAAATGGAGGAAAATGTTTAAATAGATTTTGTTAGCATAATTATTTTGAAGATGTGATCTAGATAAAACCATTAGAAAATCTGGTTGGATATTACTTTAATTATAGTAATTGTTCCTACCTAATAGGGAAAAAAATTGAGTTTTTATCTAGTTCAAACATCTTTAGTCATAGGTGAGAGATCTTTAAATATCTTAAGATGAGGAAATACAAAGTTCAATCAAAGATATGATTCTGCACAACGATTGAAGAATTTTGTGAGGTGCCAGAAAAATTTGGTAACATTTTACTTATATCTTTAAGACTATAAGCTACAAGGATTGTAAGATCAACTCTTGTTTTTAAGTTATGAGACCCCTACTATACATGATAAGTATTAGAATCATTGAAAAGAATCCAGGAATGTCCTCGCTGAAATCTCTAATAATAATAAAACCTTGATCAGTTAAAATGATATTACCAAAAATGTTTTGGGATGGTGTTACTATTTCAAGAAGGGATAGGCAACTTTTATCCTTGGGGATATTTAGAATTAAGTATAAAAATGTTGGAGAATCAAATTCATGGTATTAATGGTTTTATGCTAAAGAGGCAAAATATATATTTTTAAATATACTTGTAACTTAGCCTGTCAGAGAAATGTGTCAGTCTTTCTAATCTTATCTTAAATTTGTCATTAATTAATTGACTTATATTTATAATTTTTAAATATAAATATTCAAAAATTGTATGCATTATATGAATATTTGTAAAAAAACTTAGACTTACCGTATTTGTACATTTAATTTTTTTAATTTATAAAGATTATCCTAAGTACTTGGAAACTTTTGAGAGACATGAGAAATGTCTAAGGTCAATAGAATATCTCAGGGTATTTAACAAAAGTCTGTAAATATGACTAAATATTATTCCAGACCCTTCAAAATAATTTTTGGTTGGATGCTAGACATTGTGAACATAATAACATTAAGTGTTCAGTTGTTTTGTTTTTCTTTACAAAATGTATGACTTTGTTCTTGTAGGCAGTTAATTGTAGATTAGTTAGAGCCTTACAAGCCTTGGTTTCAAGCTTTATTGGCGGCAGCCTTGAGTAGACTTTATTCTAGGACAGGTCCTCCTACTAAGATGTGACCCTTCTCAGGTCATGACTAAATGTTCTCAATGTTTAAAGAGGCCTCTCCTCTCTCCAGGATTGACTCTTGAATGACTTCCAGTCATTTGTAAACTCTGAGAAATGTTCATCTTAACAGGTCCCCAGTTATTCTTGGCCTAGCATTGTGGAGTTCACCCTGTGCATGCATGGTGTAGGATTCTATTCACAAGCTCTTTCTCTGAGAGCTTCCTTTTCTCCAGTATTTTATCCTATAAATTCTAGCTGCCCTAGCCTCACTCTACTGGAGTTTCCCCTTCCTGAGCTGTGGTCTCCGATGTGCCTTCAGTCAAAAAACTGAGGCTGTTGTAGGGTGTATCTCATTCTTTCCCTTCTCTCAGGGATCACAGTCTTGCAATGTTTGTTGTCTACTGTCTGAAGGCAGTTGATATCTACCCACATATCTCTATCTATTCTAATCATTTCTGAAAACACTTAAAATTTTGTTCAGAGGTGACATGAAGCATGTCTACAAAGCAAGACAAATAGCTAAGTCCAAAGTCAATGTGGCAGAGAAATATATTCACTCCATAGTAAAACATAACAAGAATGGAGAGAGAATGAATAATGTGATCAAGACAGTTTACCACAAAGGGGTTATAACAAAGTCCTGGCAATCTGCTATTTCAGTGTGTTCCAAATAGCAAGATGTTAATGATAATGGCCATGATAATTATGACAATGGTAAGTGATAAATATTAGCTAGGTGTCTAGGCACTATTCTACTTACATGTACTAATTCTCTTAAGACTTATAATAACCCCATGAAATAGATACTATTATTGTAGTCATTTGATAAGAAAATTGAAATTTATAGAAGGTAAATTTCTTGTCCAAGGTAGGTTGTAACACTGAGATGTGAAACTAGGTGGTCTGGCCAAACTATGATTAAACATAGTGTACTGTATTCTATCTTAGCATCTTAAGGGTTCTGAGAAGTTCAGCAGTGAAGAAAAGTGTTTACCTTTATTAAGCTTAGTTTTTCTACTTTATTTTGGAGCTTGGAACACTCTTTAGTATTGGGGGCATATCTATTATCAATTGATTGGCCAGTATTGCTTGGAATGCTTGTACTATAAGATCTTTGTGGGTAAAAATATCCCATTTGATTTTAGAGTTAAGAGTTTACTAACTTTGGTATCAGATGCCATCTTCTATCAACTCTTGCTCTTTCTTAGCTGTGTTCTTAAGCTCCTAAGCATTGGTTTCTTCATAAAATAGAGATGGCAGTTTGTACCTCATACTTGTGAGGACAGTCACATGAGATGATGCCAAGAAAGCATTTAGCATAGTACTTGGTAAATAATAGCCAAATAAATGTTGGCTTTTTTTTTTTTTTACTGTTGTTGTCCTTACTGTTGTTATTTGCTATTCTCATCCAGTTCAGATAACTACTTCAATAAATGTCCATTGAATTAATGTATTCATTTTCAGTTACATTATTAATGTTTTGACCTTATCTACAGTTTTATTTTTTTAATTTTTAAAAAATATTTATTTATTCATGTAAGACAGAGAGAGAGAGAGAGAGAGAGAGAGAGAGAGAGGCAGAGACACAGGCAGAGGGAGAAGCAGGCTCCATGCAGGGAGCCTGATATGGGACTCTATCCCTGGACCCCAGGATCACGCCCTGGGCCAAAGGCAGGCACTAAACCCCTGAGCGTCTCTTACCTACAGTTTTAAATTTGTGTGAAGTTCAGAGAAAATATATAGCATGTGAATATGTTGGATAACATCCTATCTCTTGGGAAACTTTAATGTCTACAGTTGCTACATGATTAGAAGATAGATTGAAATGTTGTCTCTTTTTTAATTTTAGACAACTATTACTACATTTCTCCATTAGTTGGTGTCTTTTTCTTGGCTCTAACTCCTATCTGGATTATAATAGCTGCTAAACATCCAGCCACAAGAACAGTTCTCCACTCGGGCTGGGAGCCTGTCATAACAGCTATGGTTATAAGTAGGTTAGTATTAAAATGTGTGTGCATGTGTTCTTTATGCCTTTATCCGTGTATATATTAAAACAGCAAAAACAAACAAAAAACAAAAAATAAAACAGCAGCCTGTTTTTATTTCTTGGGTTAATTATTTTATATAGCGAAGTTGTAAGAATCCTCATCACAGTGGAATTTTTAACAACAAAAATGAGACCACCTTAGAGGTCTAGCAACCAGGTATTGATCAAATAAATTGTAGTGTAGTCACAAAATAGAATATTAGCCACTAAAAACAACATTGCAACATTTTTATTGATGTGGAAAGATGTTCACAGTACATTTGGTGAAAGGAGCAAGCAGCTAGAAAAGAGTATGAATTTCCTGTTAAACATGGTGTATTGAACACATTTATCTTATTCCTTCCCGAAACTACTAAAATGACAGTAATAGAACAGAAAAGCTATAAAATCACAAAGACAGAAGGGGAGCAGAGAGGACAGCAGGTGTGAGATTAAACAAAATTAGTAAAGTAGAAATCAGATGGATGATTTTTAACTGAACTAGCAGAATGGAAAAAGCTAAAATCTAACCTCCTGCAGGCCAAGGGACACCCATCAGAAGCAAACCAATCTGAGATCTGAGCCTCAGAAACCCAGAAAGGTGGAGTAATTAGATGCGCACTAAATATTTCTCAGAGCTACAATGAAGAAGAGTGGTTGAAAGTTTATGTAAGAAGCAATTAGATCCCAAAAGCCCTTCTTCAGCTTAACCACCCGAGTGACTGCTCCCTCCCACCTTGGCAGAAGACAAGATTTAACTCTGGAGAGACCAAATCAGAGAGGCCATGGATTTAGAACACCTGCACATCTTTAAAAAAAAAAAGAAAAGAAACACCTGCACATATGAGGGTGTGGATTACACAGTCTGAAAAATAAGATTAAGTGAAAATTAAACAACAAAAAAAAGATTAAGTGAAAATTTAGATGCTAAACAGTGAAAACCCTACCCCACTTCCTTTTCTTTGCTCGTGGAATGCTGGCAGTCAAGCCTCTACCCCCAGGCAAAAAATCAGAATAATTCCTTTCTGGGGAAACTTATCAGCACAAAAGAAAAAATTGTGGTTACTGACCCTTGTGGGTCCTTTCATGAAAGAGCTGCGTGGCCACCTGACCATTCTTTAGGAGGCCCACCTGCTGACGAGCTCTGCCTGTGTATACACAGTGTGCTGTGCTGAACCCCTTACAGAGGAGCGGACAGTAGAAATGTCTAGCAGTCGCTAGACATTTGATTAAGGCTTCTAACATGAAAGACAAAAGCAGAAAAATGGTACTCAAAGAAAGTGTAGGGATAGTTCAAAGACCTCAAAAAACTCTCATCAGTGTCCTCAGCGCAATAAGAGAATCTATGGCATCCATAAGGCATGAACAGATTGCTCTAATAAGGAACAGATTGCTCTAATTATTAATAAGTACCCCCCAAATTAGGAAAAATATGGGACAAAGCAACAAGTAAAAGTGAGGAAATCTAATTGAAAAGCAGCAAGAGCTCTTAGGAATTAGGAATCTATAGAGGCACCTGGGTGGCTGAGTCAGTTAAGCAGCTGACTCTTGATTTCAGCTCAGGTCATGATCTTGGGGTCCTGGGATCCAGCCCCATGTCAGACTCTGCATTCAGCCCTGGAGTCTACTTGTCCCTCTCCCTCTGCCCCTCCTCCTGCTCTCCATCTCTCAAATAAATAAATAAAATCTTTAAATAGCTGAAACAAAAAAGCACAGTAAAAAGTTGGAAGATAGAACTGAGGAACTGTTCTGGAAAATAGAACAGATAGCAAAGAGGTTGGCAACTGGAGGCAAAGAACAAGGAGAAGAAATTACCAAAGAAATAATGTAAGAAAATTCCCTGGAACCAAAGACCGTGGGCTTCCAGCCTGAAAGGGCCCCCTAATACTCAGTACAGTGAATACCAGGAGACCCAAATCAGAAGACCTTCCTCTAAATCCCAAAATCTTCTGGAGAGAAAAGATGAGTTACATAGAAAGCATCGGGAATCTGGATGATGTCCAATAGCAACACCTAAAGTTATTCCTTCAAAATTCTGAGGGAAATTATTTTGAACATAAAGTGTGGTCGTGATATCAACCAAATGTAAGGATGGAATCAAGAAATTTTCAGACATGCAGGATCTCAGAAAATTTGCTTCCCATTTGCCCTTTCATATAAAAGCTGGTAGAGAAGATATGGCCTATCAAAATGAGGACATAAATCAAGGAAGAAGGTGACAAAGGAATGAGGGACATGAGGACATGTATGGTTCATTTTTCTGTGATGTAGATTGCTTTTTGCAAGATTCAGGCAGTAGGGTCCTATGAAATGCTGGGACTTGGTCATGGTGCACAGACCAAGACCTGGCATGGGGAGACTGAAGGGAAGATGCAGGGAAGAACAGCTGTGCAGCAGGCCTCCAGGCCACCATCCAGGTTGGCAGGAGGACAGTGGGCTTAAGGAGGAATGTTTCTAAGAAACAAAAATGGAATTGATGAGTTACCTGATGAGTTTAACTCTATTCAGAGGCATTTCGTGAACTTTGTTAGAAAGTTGAGACTGAATTACTAATAAGTACCCCCAAATTAGGAAAAATATGGGACAAAGCAACAAGTAAAAGTGAGTTAATCTAATAATGCACTTGGTGGCTCAGTTGTGAATAATTCCTAAAGTAAAGCCTAAATATTTTTCACCCAAAATTATATAACCAAGTCGGCAAGTTAAGGGGAGAAAGGGAATTATGAAGGATCCGAAGTGCAAGTGAGATTAAATCCTCATCTGTCACAGTGGAGGTCATTAGGTAAATGTCTAAAATTAAAATCAAGAAGTCACAGTATAAACACATTATTTAGAAATATAGAATTAAACGCCAGAAGCAACAGCTAGAGAAGTTGAAAAAAATTGCTAGTGAAGAACAGGTTCTAGGAATGGGGGCTGCGCATGATTTAATAAGCTCTGTTGTACTTTCACTTTTAAAATAATGTACATATGTTTATTTGGTAAAGATAAAATGTAATAAAAGTGAAGAGAGAACTATCTTTACCGTGTGAGGTGTGTGTGTGTGTGAGTTATTATTTTTAAAGATGTTTAAAAATGTCTGGGAGGCTATATACCAGCATGTTAACAATATAGCTCTGAATGATGGTACAGTGGATTTTTGTTTTCTTCTTTTGTCTTTTCTCATTTTTCTATATTTTGTTACCTGGGTCATAAAAACATAATAAGATGTGTTTTAGCAAGTATTCATGTTGTATTCACAGCATGAACCTAAGCATTTTGGCACAGAAATTTATTCTCTGACACATAAAACTAGTTTTTCTATGAAATATATATATATATTTTTTTAAATTAGAGCTTAAATTATTAAAATACTGCAAAGGAACTTTACAGTGTAACTTTTATTTTTTTTACAGTGTAACTTTTAATGGGACATCCTAGTAATTTAGGCATATTAGGCCACAATTTATTTATTTTGCTAAAAATTAAAATAATATTTAATAAGTTCCTGATGTTAACTATCAGATATCGGTAGAACATTTGATCTGATATTTTTACAGTCAACCCCACTATCTGATAACATGGGGTTTATTTTTCTGTAATGTAGATTACATTTTCCCGGAAGATTTAGACAACAGGATCCCATGGGGTATAGGGACTGGCAGTGTTTTATGGGACTTAGACCAAGAAACTGAAGTTAACCAATTGGTAATGGTCTTAGAAACTTGAAAAATCTCCAAGCTTCATAGAGACAGTCAGAGTATATGGCTTGCTGCTATGCAACTGTATGTTATTTTTCCAGACCTCTGTCCTCAAAATCAGGTCTTTCTATGGCTATAGCTCATTAATTTCCCAGGGATAAGATGCTACACCTATCTAGTTTTAACACAATAAAAATGATCTAATACTTTGTTGATTTCAACTATGAAGAAATAACCTTTTAAAAACTATTTTTTTTAGGGGGATCTGGCAGGCTCGGTTTGTAGAGTATGACTCTTGATCTTGGGGTCAGAGTTGTGAGTTCAAGCCCCACATTGAGTGTAGAGCTTTAAAAAACCAAACTATTTTTTAAATTATAGGAACAATAAATGCACATGGTTTTTAAAAACTAGTAAATAGAAAAGGATATAAAATAACCCACAATCTTTTGTTAGTCCCTCCACCCAGAGATAGACATTGTTAATAATTTCATATATATCCTTCCAGACATTTTAATGCACTTAAAACATATTCTTTTCCTTTTTATAAAGAACATATCTTGGAGATCAGAAGGAGAGCTCTGACATGTAGGGCTATAGCCTTATTCCATGTTTTATTTCCAACATTTCCTGTTAACATTGACTTTTACTTTGAATGTTTTTCCTTTGTATTCTTTTTTTTAAATGTCTAAAATTTTATTTTTAAAAGTAGAGATCATTGTATGTAAAGGACAGCTTCAAATTAGTAGATTTCTTTATTCTTCCCTAAATTACATGATTTTCTATCTTTCAGCATTGGGGGCCTTATCCTGGACACAACTGTATCTGACCCAAACTTGGTTGGGATTGTTGTTTATACACCAGTTATTAATGGTAAGAATTAGATATACCATTTCATAATGGTATCAAATCATTATATACTCTCAGTTGCTACCAGGAATTTTAGGGTTCAGATTTTAAGAGGTGTATCTTCCCCTCTCTCCCATTCTCCCTTCACCCCCAGCTTGTTCATGGTAGAAATGACATTCTCTATTCTCAGTATGTACAACATATTTTTTGGAAAGAACTGTTTCTCTTACTACTTGATATTTGAGAGTGAAACATACTTGATTTTTAAGATTAGTGTGGCAAAATAATGATATTTCGATTCTGGATTATCATTTACTTTGCGTTTATCTGCTATCTCATGTTTTGCTACTGTTCCTGTCCATTTATGTGGATCAATTAGAGTTAGCTAGGTTTAAACATTGTTTAAGTCAATTCAGTTCATTAAAATCTGTCACTCCTCTGTGAATCCCTTTAAGATCTGCCTTATATTTTTTTCTTACCTATAAAATGAGAATTATAATACTTAGGTTCACACGGGTTTTTGTATGAATTCCATTTAATAAGATAATTTTAATCTACTCATACTGGCTTTTGGGCTGGCTGTCATTAAATTGGATTTTAGTATAGCCTACACCAATATAATTTAAAAAGTAATTCTACCTGAGGGAAACCATGTCACAGGGTATGCTACAAATTTAATATAAATTGTTTTTGTATATTTATATGTAATAATATATGTTGTATGAAGGCAAGTTCTCCAAAATCCAACTTCATACCTAAAATTTCAAATCCGGGGCAGCCTGGGTGGCTCAGTGGTTTAGCACCACCTTTGGCTCAGGGCATGATTCTGGAGACCGGGGATCAAGTGCCACATCGGGCTCCTGCATGGAGCCTGCTTCTCCCTCTGCTTGTGTCTCTACCTCTCTGTCTCTCTGTTTCTCATGAATAAATAAATAAAATCTTAAAAAAAAAAATCACTCTTTAAAAAAATAAAATAAAAAAAATTTCAACTCCTCCTGCCTGTCAAATCAAGTTTGAATTCTTCTGCTTCCCTTTCAGTGGCCCTCTACATGTGTACATACATACATACATACATACATGTACATACATACATACATGTGTACATACATGTGTACAACTTTTTCCTTTGTCTTTCTAACCAGATTCTTATTTCGTGGCCCTACAAAGATCTAATTTTCACTGCCTGGAATTACTGCTTTACTTTGACCTGTTCAAATCCTCTTCAGTGATTATTAGTTGATGAAGTCACTAGCATAAATATTATCCACTAATACCATGAGAGTTGTATTGTCCAACATTTCAGTGAAAAATTTGTATTATAACAACCCTGTTATTAGTAAGGTTTTAATCAGTGTTTCTGTTACTTCATCTTACATAAGAAACAATTCTGGAGCTTCCCCGAAGTGCTCCTCTTTGAAGCCATGATATTACCTGGTAGTAAAAACTTTTTTGTATCTCAGTAAGTGAATCTCTTTAGTTGGGTATCACAGTCAGCTCACTGTATGTTAAATTCCACTCATTAAAAACATTGATAGAGAAGATCCATTCCATGGTCCTCAAAAAAGGTGGAGCTTTTGAAAATTGAATTTCATTTTTAGATATGCTAGAGGATGTACTATTTAAAGGACCCATCACCATCATCATTTGCTAACTAGTTGGTACCTACTATGTGCCCGATAATGCAGGTCTTTTATGCATATCATTTCATCCTCACAATAAGAAAGTAATGTGCCCGTCATCTCACATCCAGTAAGTGGTAACTCAGCATTTAAACCCAGATCTTGGGGCTGCCCGGGTGGCTCAGCGGTTTGGCGCTGCCTTCAGCCTGGGGTGTAATCCTGGAGACCCGGGGTCGAGTCCCATGTTGGGCTCCATGCATGGGGCCTGCTTCTCCTTCTGCCTCTCTCTCTCTCTCTCTCTGTCTTTCTCTCTCTCAAGAATAAATAAATAAAATCTTTTAAGAAATAATAATAAAAAAAATAAACCCAGATCTGCTTGATTCTGAAACCTGTGCTTTTCCCCCCTCAAAATTACTAATTTATCTGTTTTATTAGTTACAAAAATACACACTTTGTTTAAAGTAAGGGCATATCAGTGTTGATATTGTGACTAAAATATCTTTTAATGCTTATTAACATCTCTCAGAACTAGTAGCATTTTCAAAAATAGATTTCACAAAATACTAGTTCAGTGAGGTATTAATAGTATAATTTGATAAGTGAGTTTTGTGGTCTATTAAGTTTGGGAAGTATTAGGTCAAATAGATTTCTTTACTCCAGGATTTCTTAAAGCCTTAATCATGCTAATATGAACCTCTCCTGAGACTTCTGCTAGCAAGGGGTTAAGATTTCTAGAACTAACCTTCCTTCGGACCCCAGACCATACTTTGGGAACTACTGATCTAGGGCTTATCATATATCTTTACCACAGTATACTTTCAAATAATAATCTAGCCCAATTTATATAAAGGGTAAGCACCTTATATCAGTATACCTAGATTTTCACTTCTTTTTCTTATGTATTCTTTTTGTCATACATTTTGCTTTGTTATAAATCCTATATACATTGTTATTATTTTTGCTTTCAATGGCCAGTTATCTTTTAAGGAGATTAAAAATGAGAAAATGGTATCTTCTCTATTTTCTAATTTATTTTACATTTCTAACACCCTTCTTTCCTGTGTGTAGTTCCAGATTTCTATCTGGTTTTATGTTCCTTTTGCCAAGAGAAATTCATGTTTCTTGTAGGACAGGTTTGTAAGGTGTTTGAGAGGATAATCTAGGTTGAAAGTTGACTTTCTTGAGTTTTTTTTTTTTTCAGTCCTCCATACCCATTTCTTTAGTGACCTAAGAAGAAAAATATCAAGCCTTGTCTGTTTGAAAAAAATCAAGCTTATTTTTCCTCTTATTAAGGTGATAAGCATTAAACATCTTGCTACCTATCTTTATATCTTGACTATGATAGTAATTTAAAAAAATTATTTAGTCTGGTCAGCTTTCAGTTGGATGAGTCAGATTTGAAAAAATAATGCATGAGTCTTTCATAACAATGACTTTATGCCTTTGGAATATGTACCTTAACATTAAATAAATCAACATCTCAGAATTCTTTTTTGTTTGTTTGTTTTATTGGCTCAGGATATAACACAAAGAGCCTTTCCTTTGGTTGAATTTTTACAGTTCTTTAAAATAGGAGGATAATTGGTTTGTTTTTCCTTATGTTTCAGGTATTGGTGGTAATTTGGTAGCCATTCAGGCTAGCAGGATTTCTACCTACCTCCATTTACATAGCATTCCAGGAGAATTGCCTGATGAACCCAAAGGTTGTTACTATCCATTTAGAACTTTTTTTGGACCAGGTATGTGCTTGTGGATTTTTACATATTTTTTATCAGGAATAATTCTTCACTGATAATAGAGATGGGCGACATTTGCTGAGTACATATTTTGATAGTTTTGCATGACTTTTTAATTTCTGAGACCCAAATAGATTTTAAATAGAGTAGATTGTGTTCATTAAATCTCAGTGAACAAAAAGTCATTTGTATCAATTCTGCAGTTGCTGAGGAATTTTGTATACTTTTTCTGTTTCATCCTATTTTCTGGGATGTCTTGTTCATGAGTCAAGAAAGAGGAACCTTTACCCACAGGAAAACATTGCTAGGTGATTTAGAGAGACAGATATACTGTCTTTCCTATATTAATCCTTTTGACTTTTTTTTTTTAAGATTTTATTTATTCCTTCATGAGAGACACAGAGAGAAAGAGAGGCAGAGACACAGGCATTGGGGAAGCCCAACGTGGGAACTCGATCCCCAGTCTCCAGGATCACACCCTGGGCCAAAGGTGGTGCTAAACCGCTGAGCCACCCGGGCTGCCCCCTTTTGGCTTTTCTAAATGTAGACATTGGATCCCAAACAAACGGAAGGAGAGGGAAAAACCTCTATAATAAGGAACAGCATCCTGTGTCACCCAGGAAGTGACTACCAAAAAACTATGACCACAGTATTAAACCTCACAATTCTTATCACTTCTTTTCTGAGGAAAATAAAGGTTATTATTGACTTTTTTAAAACAAATTCAATTAATATATAGTGTATTTTTAGCTTCAGAGGTAGAGTTCAGTGATTCATCATCAGTTGCATATAGCACCCAGTCACATCATGTGCCCTCTTAATGCCCATCACCCAGTTACCTTGATCCCCCACCCACCTCCCCTCCAGCCATCCTCAATTTGTTTTTCCTATGATCAGCAGTCTCTTTTGGTTTGTCTCCCTCTCTGATTCCTTCCCATTCTGTTTTCCCCTCCCTTCCCTTATGCTCTTCTGTTTTGTTTCATAATTCCACATGAGTAAGATCATGTAATAATTGTCTTTCTCTGACTTATTTTGCTCAGCATAATACCCTCTAGTTCCATCCATGTCATTTCAACGGCAAGATTCATTTTTTTGATGGCTGAGTAATATTCCATGGTATGTATGTGTATGTGTATACATATATATGTATATATACACATATGTATATATATACACACACACATATGTGTATATAGATATACTCACACACACACATACATATACACCACATCTTTATCCATTCACTGCCAATGGACATCTGGGCTCTTTCCGTTGTTTGGCTGTTGTGGACACAGCTGCTATAAACATTGGGGTGCATATGCCTCTTCGGATCACTACATTTGTTATTATTGACTTTTGAGTAAGAATCAGAAATGCCAAATAAATAAAAATTTAAAAAAAAAAAAAAAAAAGGGATCCCTGGGTGGCGCAGCGGTTTAGCGCCTGCCTTTTGGCCCAGGGCGCGATCCTGGAGACCCGGGATCGAATCCCACGTCGGGCTCCCGGTGCATGGAGCCTGCTTCTCCCTCTGCCTGTGTCTCTGCCTCTCTCTCTCTCTGTGACTATCACAAATAAATAAAAATTAAAAAAAAAAAAGAAATGCCCAGTGAAATATCAGTGAAAGAACTCTGAAGGAGAAGTAAAATTAAAACATTCCTATGCCTTAAGAATTTTGTTTTCTTTTGTTCTCCCTCTTTTATCACTGTAAGATATTAAAGTCTGGCCAGTGTTCTTCATAGCAAGTTTTTGTCAACTTCCTGCCATTTAATTAGCACATAACATATAGTGAGAATTTTAAAGAATTAAGTAAACTGTGAATGGTTGAAATGTATTGTTAGCAACAGAATTTTATGAAATGCTATACAGTATAGTAACTAGAAAGTAATCCTTAAATTTTAACAACTGTGACTTATTAGTACCCAAGCTAGGATTTTGTTTTGACTTTTACGTTTTCTACTACAGGAGTGAATAATAAGTCTGCTCAAGTTCTACTGCTTTTAGTGATTCCCGGACATTTAATTTTCCTCTACACTATTCATTTGATGAAAAGTGGTCACACTTCTTTAACTGTGATCTTCATAGTGGTATACTTATTTGCTGCTGTACTACAGGTAAGAGTTAAAACCTCTGGTAATCTTTTTTTTATCCTCAGACTGCTGTAACAAGCATAAATATGTAAACCTAAGAGCACATAAACTATTTTAACATTTCAAAAAGCAACTGAGGGGCACCTGGGTGGCTCAGTTGGTTAAGCATCTGCCTTGGGCTCAGGTCATGATTCCAGGGTCCTGGGATTGAGCCCCGTGTAAGACTCCCTACTCAGTGGGGAGTCTGCTTCTCCTTTTCCCTCTGCCCCTCTACCTGCTCCTTCTCTTTCTCCCTCTCTCTCAAATTAATTAATTAATTAAATCTTTTTAAAAATAAAGCAACTGAATGACTTTGTATAGATTTCATCTTCCTAAAACCGAGAAATTCATTTTTACAACAATCTAATAAATAGAACCTTCAGATTTCTTGTTTCCGGAATTCCATGTCTCCCTTTCCCTCCCTCCCTCCCTCCCTCCCTCCCTCCCTCCCTCCCTCCCTCTTTCTTTCTTTTTTCTTTCTTTCTTTCTTTCTTTCTTTCTTTCTTTCTTTCTTCTTTCTTTCTTTCTTCTTTCTTTTCTTTTTCTTTTTCTTTTTCTTTTTTTTTCCTCGTTTCACATGAACACATTTTCTGATAGATTCCTGAGAGCTTTTGCATGTTGTAAAGTGCTTTTACATGAATAGGTTGAATGGATATAAAATTCTTTCTTTTAGAATTTTGAAGGCTTTGTTTGCTTCAATGCTTTTTAACTTCTGTTACCCATCAAGAATAACTGGTGCTGTTCTCACTGCAGATCTCATTGTACATAAGTTCTTTTTATCTCCCTAGAAGCTTGAAAGATCTCTTTTTTTACCCCTTGTTATTAAATTGCAGGTTGATGGGCCCTGGTTTGGATATACTTTGTCTGTTTTGTTGAACATTGTTTGACCCTTTCAATCTTAAAACCTGTGTTCTTCATTTCTAGGAAGAATTTTGAATTATTTCTTTTATTCTTTCCCCCTTCTTTCTTCCTGGAATCTTATTTGATTCCTAAAGCTCTTGCATTTCTGATCTTATTCTCCTTTTTGTCTTTTTTTCTGGGAGATCTCTGTGCCTTTCTACATCTTTGTTGTGTGAGTGAAATTTCAGGAGACAGTAGGGTTGAACATATATATTCACCTTGCCATCTTTATGTGGGAAACTACCATTTTAAAAATTAAGGAAATCAACTTTATTTTAACATCTGATCGATATAATGCACATAATTTAAAAATTAAATAGTACTGAAATGTATTCTACCTTTCCAGTTACATTCCTCAGAGATACTCACTGAAATATTTTAGCTGTTTCTTCTTATGTGTATCTGCAAGTTTTAAAGTAACATGCCTTAAACTTTAGACTTTTGCTAATAAAAAGTGAGGATTTAAGGGATTATGTTAACACCCCATTTTTTCCATATAGTTATATCACAATTTTTTGTTAAATTTGCAGCTAGTGTTTGTGTGACTATGTAAACATCACGTACTATTGAGCCGGATAGTATAGTGTGATTGTATTTCCTTTTTGTGTACTTTATTTTTCTTGGGGTTAATAATTACATCTTTTTTCCTTTGCATCATTTTCCATAAACCCAATCTTTCCAACAGTTTCCACTTTTCTTTGGCTTCTTAGGCTTGGCTTCTTGCTAAACTCTGTAGGATTAGCACCTCCTACAGTGAGAAATTCTAACCTCATAAAAGATACATTCAAATAATTTTTTAACGAGAGAATATTTAAATTTGGCCTTCAAGACCAACACTGTTCTAAGTGCATGAAACATATCGATTCACTTAATTTTCACAAAAACTCTATGAGATTTGTTCTTTTCATGTAAATCTGTGATTTTCAAAGTGAAGGACATACAAAGCAATCCAATGTATACAGGAAAAAAAGTTAGAACATCTGTGTATTTTTTCCTCATTTGCTTAAAATGTCTATTTTCTTCTATTTTTGTGATTGTCTTATAATAAACAGATTAGCACTGTGTTAAATAAGTAGGCTTAGGTATTTTATACTAGGACTAAATAACTTAAAACTTCTGGAAAGTAAAAGGATGGAGATGAGAAAGTACAGAGTTTGTGTTGGAAAGAGAAAGTAATTCATACCCAGAATATAAGTAGGAGGAGGGAGTAGATGAGAGAAGGTTAAGAAGGTACATTAGGGCCACATAGAAAGGGCTCAAGTCCCAGGCAAGGGAGACTGGAATCTACTCTTAAAATAGCAAACACCATATGACTTAATTGATATATATATATATATATTTAAGATTTTATTTATTTGACAGAAATAGTAGGAGACAGCACAAGCAGGTGGGGAGAGGGAGAAGCATGCTCCCTGCTGAGGAAGGAACCCACGTGGGCCTGGATCCCTGGACCCTGAGATCATGGCCTGAGCTGAAGGCAGACACTCACCTGCCCTTAATTGATATTTTAAGCTCTTCTATAATGCTTTGTAGTACCTGAGAGTTTATTAAAGGTCACCTATCAAATCATCATTGATTCATCCAGCAAACCTTCATTCTACTAGATGTAGAGATGGGTTTTAAATCCCAGGATAAATAAATTCAGACCCTATCTCTGGAGGGAAGACTACTACATGAATAGATAATTATATTGTAATCTAATATACAAATGCTGGGAATAGCTACATATAAAGTGCTTTCAGAGCTTGGAAGAAAAAAGCAACTAACTCTACCTAGGGAGTAATATTTTTCTACTGCGCAGTAGGGACAAGTTATTTCAAATGCTTTTTTGCCACTGGCTTCCTTTATTGCTCTATATGATACAGTCATTTATCTCTGTGTAAGTATTTTGAAAAAGGTACATTCTTCAGTCCCATGGGAAATTTCAGATTGTTGTCTGATCTATTGATAAACATGCCATTTTTAGAGCATGTTTCTATTTGCAATTCCACCTCTTAGCCTCATGGATTGATTTTACATTTATGTTTATGGCTCTTTGTCAGCACACTATCACACATCATTTCACCTGAGTCAATAAGGATATAATTTTTCTGAACTTACAAAAATATTAGATTTCAGCCTATACTCAGAGAAATCCTACATGTCTTTTTCTATCCTCTGACTTAATTCTGACAAGTAAAGGTTGAAAAACTGAAGGTGAGGAAAGAGTAATATTAATCATCTCTATCTCAGTTACCTTCTTATAAGATGGGAGGAATAAGAGTACGTACCTCATAACTTATTTTTAAGATTAAATGATTTAATTATAGAAAGCTTACTACATAGTAGATGCTATTTAAGTGTTAACTGATGCTGTCGTTGTTAAAACTAGAAATGTAAGTGATGAGGCATTGATCTCTGATTATAATTGAAAAATATTTTTTAATCTTATAGTGTTGATTGATTTTCTTATGTATCTTTTACGACTTTTGTTTTTATGGGTTTTAACACACATGTAAATACACACACACACACACACTTCTTTGGAAATTGAGATTTAGATAAAAGGCCTTCCCCTGCCCACTTCAATCAATTCAAAGATGGACAGAATGATGAAATACTTTCTAAAGACAAAGATTCCTTGACCACTTTAAGACTCACTTGGGTTAACACCCAGCTCTTACTCAAATATTTTAGTTCACCCTTCCCATCCCCAAACTCTATATTTTGATGGAATATTCAGTAATAAGGTTTTCTGATGCATGTTTATTTTCTTCACATTTAGATTTCCTACCTCCTGGAGGCTAGAAACCAAGCCCTTTTCCTTATGGTCTTCTACACAAGACATTATATAGTGGTTGTTTTTGAATTCTTGGTGTTTTGCTTTCTCCCTAATATTATTTGATGAATCCCCCACCCCACCCCCTCACCACCCAATTCCCTAGCCAACTAAATGAAGGAAATCTGTTTGAAAGAAACCTCATATTGGACTTATTATAATGACATACATAGTAACAATCATTTGTAGTATTTTTGCATTTACTCAGATATCAGCTCTTTCTGGAAGCCTTATTTGAATACTTGATTTCGTCTGAGTGCCCTTATTCTGTGCCCATAGTCCCCTGTGAATATCATTATTCTAGCTTTTCCATATTTTATCAACATCATCTGTTTATGTGTGTCTCACCCATTCTAGAGAAGGGATCTTTGACTTACTCATTTTTACTCTTTTACCTAGCCCCATCTCTAGTGCTCAGTTAGTTTTTGTTAAACTGAATGACTATATCTTTTTTTTTCTTTTTTTCTTTTTTTCTTTTTTTTTTTTTTTTTTTTCCTGAGAGCCGTTTCTTGCTGGAGCCTGGGATCCCAGTAGGGTTTGGGGCTTTGCCCAGGGCTTGTTGGAGGTCTCAGAATCCATGCAAAGGATCAGGTTGAGCTGGCTAGAGCCTAGGAGGTGGGAGTGGTTGGGGGCAGGGGACGGGGGGCTACCTCTGAATGACTATATCTTGCCAGCCATGTCTCCTTCTTCACTGAAGGGAAGAGAAAAGTTTACAACTGTATTTAAACCCCATAAATGCCAGAAAAACTGAAAACTCTGAATTTTCTTCTCCTTGCTTTCAATAAACACCAGGTTTCTCTCTTTCAAATGACTTAGGTATTGAGAATAAGAGGCAATGAGAAATAAAACATAAAACCTCCAAATTCTATCAACATTCAGCCAGAATTATAAGTTTTTTTCTGAAATGTTTAGAAATGAAATGACTTGGTATCTAGAGAAAGGTAGGGGTATATAAAACAGTATTGGTCATGAGGTGATCACTGGTGAAACTGAGTGATGGTCCATAAGAATGGTATGGGTTCATTTATACTGTTCTGTGTATTTTTGAACTTCTGCATAATGAGTTTTAAAAATTAAGATTTTATTTAAGATGTTAACACAAGAATGTTTTATCTATTTGTTTGTTTTAGAGAGAGGGTGGGAGAGAGGGAGAGTGAAAGAGTCTTAAGCAGGCTCCATGCCCAAAGCAGAGACCCACACAGAATTCAGTCTTACAACCCTGAGATCATGACCTGAGCCAAAATCAAGAGTCCCATGTTTAACTGAC